CATGTATACACATGTATTTGATGGACAAAAGCTGTATCAGGTCTTCTGTCAATGTAAATCAGACCCTATAAATGGCTATAACATATATAACTGCACCTGATTTTAATCAGTGAAATATTTTACCCTATTTAATTCTGAACGCTTTAACTATACTGCATATAAATCTAAACTATAAGCTTAAAATCTTATATCTGGGAAAAAAGTCAAAAAGGAGATACTACAAATTACAGGAACATATGAGAATGACTTTCAAGCAATCCGTACTCAAAAAGTTCATACAAAGAGTAATCTAAAAGTAATCCATATCGGAGTGTGCAATCCTGAAAAGCTTTTAATCATGAAGAACAGAGTATGTTATATTGAAATTACACCACAAAACATACAGCGAGCTGTGCCTCCTCAGGGAATTTGACAAGCACATAGCAGCACTCAGGAGCACTACTGACCTGGAAGTCCTTTCTTCCACCACAGAGGTACTTGATAACTTCCTATGATAAAGAAAAAAGTTATAGAGTTTTTAGGATCAAAGTTTAGCGTATGGGCATTACTGTGTCTCACAGAATGAGAAGAATATCATGTTCTGAAGCACAAACAGCACCTCCTTGAGCACTCTAGGATTTGAGGAGAGCACTCTGAATCTACCCAACAATACAAGAGACTCATGGTTACAAGCATGCGAAGGCCCATATTGGCATAGAGTCCCAAGACCTATCATCACTTCCCCCCTGCTGAGGACACTACTTGTGGCAGGTGAGCAAACAGAGGAGCACGGTCCTTCCACTAGGAAGGAAGACCCAAAAGTGGACTACAGCTGGAATAAACAGTAGCATTGAGGTAAGGAATACCTCTGCAGCTGGGGAACAAGATGTGCACTGTCGCCCTGAAAATTCAGTTTTCTGAGCTTGCTGACATAGTTTTCTAAAGACATTCCCAGGACAGTAACTGTAAACATAGATATGTGTACATTCTTTCTGGTACACGTCTTGTGATGGACATCTCTCTTGTGCTGTTGGGAAGGTGTTACCCTGACTATCCAATCCCTGGCCGTGGTCAGAAACCTATAAATTCTGAGAGAAGAAATAAAGTTCTCTCTTCCTTTCACCACAACTTAAGCTGTGTTCGTGTGACCTATTTCATGTCCAGTGGCAGCAGTACACCAAGCAGCCTCATACACAGAGGCAGAATGCATTAGGAGTTTTGAAAAACTGGAAACTTGCTAACCTAGCCTAACTTCACTGAGAATGCAAGAGTAAACTAATTCACAGCAAAAGCTGGCACCACGTGATGAGCTGCTGTATCTACAGCTGAGGATTGAGCTCCTAAACGAAATGCCTTCTCTTGAGTGAAGATATCACTGCTTCTTTGCAGATGCAGGATCGCCAAGTAGTAAAGCTATCACTGCTACAAGTAGGACCTTTCGCACCTTGTGAGTTCTCCCATTCCCTAACAGCCACGATATCGTCCAGAAGTGTGAATGCCTCTCCACATCACACAGCAGGACCTCCAGTATGAGACTGAACCACGCTGGCCGGGCCAACCCCAGCCCTAGCCACTGGAACACTTTGCATTTGATTCACAGTTGCATGGACAACTCTCTCTTTCCATTGGAGACTGGTAAGCTGATTTCTTGCTTGTACACAGTAACAATTATTTTCAAGCCTAATATATACAGCTTCAATTACTTGGTGAAGTAGTTGTGCGTAACCCGAACGCTATATAGGAGTCAAAAAAGAAAAGAAGGGGTGAAGAAACAGAGAGAAGATGATCTGTTTTCACAGAAAGGCAAACCTAGATGCCGATTCAAAGCAGCTTGGCATATCCCAGAGGATCTCCACCTCCCTGTCAGAGCCCATGTCTGGCAGATGTCGGCAGCGCCAGTGCCCACGGGACAGGGCCCCCACGCCACTGAGACGCGGCACCCATGCGCATCCCGGCAGCGCACCGCGGGGCCGAGCCAGGCCGCTCCCTCGGGGCACGGCCCCGACAGGCCGGGACCACCGAGCCGGCCGCGGGGAGAGGGCGAGGGGCGGCAGGGCGGTGCTGCTTGCCCTTGCCCTGCAGCCCTCGCCCTGCAGCCCTCGCCCTGCAGCCGCCGGGGCGAGGGCGGGCTCAGCCCGCTGCGCGCGTAGCGGACAGGGCTCTGCGCCCCGGCCGCCAGCCAGCCCCTTGCCTGCGGAGAGGGCTGCGGCCCGCGGGGCTCCTGGGCGAGAGGCAAAAACCGGTGGTGGGTGATGGGGACGCGGGTGTCCGCCGTGGGTTGCCAAAGAGCCAAAGAGCTGAGCATGCGTGTCCCGCAAGGAGAGCCAACATTCGCTCGAGGGGAATTAAAAACTAAAAAATACTCAAACCCGCCTACTTCTGACTTCCCTTACATGGGTGACAGTCCGACCGCGGCAGTGTCGGGTGATCTCTCTCTGGCTTCAGCCGCGCCGAAGCCCTCCGAGGACGAGGAGGCGGTACACGCGGGGATGCCATGGCCACCCCGCGCCCCCCGCCGCTGACCCGGGCAGCCCGGCCCGCGGGGGAACCAACGAGGGAACAGCCAGCGAGCAAATAAACAACTTCCCTCGTGTAAGAAGTTGCCTCGCAGGTGCCTGCAGCTGGCGGTTAACACAGACAGTAAGAGGATCAACTCCATCTCCGCCAGTGGAGCAAAAAGAGGAGGAAAAAAAATAAAAGCCCCCTCATTTGCTATTCAGAATTTAGTTAATTTGGATGATAACGGTTAGTGTTTAATCCCATTGTACGAGAATGAATATACCGAAACCTACAAGGCTCCTGGAAGAATAATACGGCCGGCGGCACGGCACGCAGGAGTGCCCAGGCGGGCAGGCGGCCTTGCCCACTCCGTCCTGCCGACCGGGGCAGACGCGCCCCGGGGCACCGCCGCCTCCTCCCGCGGAGAGGTTCGGTGCTCCCGGCCGGCCCGGAGAGGTGGGCACCAGCCCGGGCCGGTGGCTGGTGTCAGGCTGGCACCGCGCCTGTCCTCCGGCCGCTCCTGGGGAAAAGAACGGGCGAGAGCGGCGGTGCCACTCGCAGTGCTCACCCTGGGACATGCGGTGGGAATGGTTTCCCCATTTTAAACAGCAAAGGGAAAAGGGTGGAAAAACGCGGGATACGGGAGAGGACGCAGGAGTTTCCGAGAGAAGAACTGCCCGAGCTCACATGGCGGGGATATCGCCGTTTCCGCAGCCCTGCCCGGGGCTCGGTAGCGTCTCCCGGGAGAGCAGAGCCAAGCACCGGGCGGCCCCGCCGCCGGCCCGGTCGCTCTTGGGTTTTCCCTCGCACTCGGGGGTGGCGGCGCCCCGCAGCAGCGCCGGGGCCGGGGGCGGTGGCGGGGCCGGGGGGGAAGAAGAAGGGAGGGCGGCTCCGCGGGCTGTGCCGGGTTCGGAGGCGCACCGCTGGCCGTGGAGAGGCTGGGGGGGGCCCGCGCCCGCCGCCGCGCTGTCGGGGGGGCGGCGGGCGGCGGGGGCGGGCGGCCCCCCCGGCGCGGCGGGGCGGCCCCGGCGGGGGCGGTGCGGGGCGGTGCGGGGCTGTGCGGAGCGGGCCGGGGGCTCGGTGCGCTCGCCAGGCGAGGAGCGCGGCTGCCCGGGCGGAGGGCCGCGGAGAGGAAAGCTAACAATGCTGTGAAAATATGTTTGCAGAAAATAGACAATTGTTGGATTAAACGTATTCAAGTATGAAATAATGCCTTTTTGTGTAAAAAACCTCAGCAATGTGAGCGTACAAAAGTTCCCCTGTGGCAGTTACTTGCTCCCTTTGTGAGCTTTGCGCTCCGGCGTCTCCACTTGGCGCGTTTAACTCGGAGCCCCCCTTTAAACGCGATTGTTTCTTTCTTTTTAATGACATTTACCGGATCAAAACATGCTGTTAATTCGATCAGAAAGCTTTACCCTCCTTAACAATGCCACAATAATTTCTCCTGAAGTTTGTTAAATTGACCAAAATTAGGCAAATGAATAGGGGGTCTGTCGGCGATCCCTCTCGCAGGTGACACCGAATAATGCACTCTCGGACCAGCTGCGATCCCCTCTTTATTTGCCCCTCTTTTCTTTGACCCGCATTATTAAAATTTAGGCCCAATGAAACTATTCATACTTTTCAATGGGACATTTTCCTATAGGATAATAGGCTACAAATTGAGCCTCTCCAAAGGAGAGGGGGAGAGCAGGGGGGGTAAAACAACAACGCACAGACGCGCACACCACACAAAAAAGGAGCGTCGTGTGCCAAAGGCTGGCAAGAGCCTCCCTGGGACGACGGAAAAAAAAAAAAGGGGGGTGATGGGGGGGGATATCGTGTGCCAGCCCCCCGGTCCCACACCTGCCGGGGTGTCCCCGGCGCATAAAGCGGTGTAAACAAAAAAATCCTCGCTGCCATCTCTTATAAAGATGGACGTGTCACCAAGTCGTGTGAGAAAAGCCTGAGAACAAACAGGGCCACTCCGTCTCCAAGGGTTCTCCCTTGAACTGGGCGGAACAGCCTATTAAGGGCTTACTTAATTACTTTAATGACTCTGGACAGGCTTTAAAATGCAGTCAGCGCCGGGGCTAAGGGGAGGGGTAGGGGGTGCCGGGGATTTGAAGGCTGGCGGCGGGGACGGGGCCGGGGACGCGGCGAGCGGGGCGCA